TATGCAGTTTCTAAGGTGTTCTGAGTGCTTCCCAGGACATCGCTATGGGGTTGCTAAGGCGTTGCTATGCAGTTAGGTTCTAAGGTCTTCTGGGGGGTCACCGGGACTGTCCTATGGGGTTGCGAAGCTGTTCTAGTTGGTTGCTAGGGTGTTGCTATGCATTTTCTAAGGTGTTCTGGGTGCTTCCCAGGACATTGCTATGGGGTTGCTAAGGCGTTGCTATGCAGTTAGGTTCTAAGGTCTTCTGGGGGGTCACCAGGACTGTCCTATGGTGTTGCGAAGGTCTTCTAGTTGGTTGCTAGGGTGTTGCTATGCAGTTTCTAAGGTGTTCTGGGTGGTTCCCAGGACATTGCTATGGGGTTGTTAAGGCGTTGCTATGCAGTTAGGTTCTAAGGTCTTCTGGGGGGTCACCAGGACTGTCCCATGGGGTTGCGAAGGTGTTCTAGTTGGTTGCTAGGGTGTTGCTATGCAGTTTCTAAGATGTTCGGGGTGGTTGCAAAGACGTTGCTCTGGAGATGCTAAGGTGTTGTAGCTGGCTGCAAGGGGTTGCAATGCAGTTAAGTTCTAAGGTGTTCTAGAGTGTTGCTATGGTGTTGCTATGCAGTTTCTAAGATGTTCAGGGTGGTTGCAAAGACGTTGGTCTGGAGTTGCTAAGGTGTTGTAGCTGGCTGCTAGGGGTTGCAATGGAGTTAAGTTCTACGGTGTTCTAGGGTGTTGCTATGGTGTTGCTATGCAGTTTCTAAGATGTTCGGGGTGGTTGCCAAGACGTTGCTCTGGAGTTGCTAAGGTGTTGTAGCTGGCTGCTAGGGGTTGCAATGCAGTTAAGTTCTAAGGTGTTCTAGGGTGTTGCTATGGTGTTGCTATGCAGTTTCTAAGATGTTCGGGGTGGTTGCAAAGACGTTGCTCTGGAGTTGCTAAGGTGTTGTAGCTGGCTGCTAGGGGTTGCAATGCAGTTAAGTTCTAAGGTGTTCTAGGGTGTTGCTATGGTGTTGCTATGCAGTTTCTAAGATGTTCGGGGTGGTTGCCAAGACCTTGCTCTGGAGTTGCTAAGGTGTTTTAGCTGGCTGCTAGGGGTTGCAATGGAGTTAAGTTCTAAGGTGTTCTATGGTGTTGCTAGGGTGTTGCTATGCAGTTTTTGATATGTTCGGGGTGGTTGCCAAGACGTTGCTCTGGAGTTGCTGAGGTGTTGTAGCTGGCTGCTAGGGGTTGCAATGCAGTTAAGTTCTAAGGTGTTTTAGGGTGTTGCTAGGGTGTTGCTATGCAGTTTCTAAGATGTTCGGGGTGGTTGCCAAGACCTTGCTCTGGAGTTGCTAAGGTGTTGTAGCTGGCTGCTAGAGGTTGCTATGTAGTAAAGTTCTAAGGTGTTTTAGGGGGTTGCTAGGGTGTTGCTATGCAGTTTCTGAAATGTTCGGGGGGATTGCCAAGACGTTGCTCTGGAGTGGCTAAGGTGTTGTAGCTGGCTGCTAGGGGTTGCAATGCAGTTAAGTTCTAAGGTGTTCTATGGTGTTGCTAGGGTGTTGCTATGCAGTTTTTGATATGTTCGGGGTGGTTGCCAAGACCTTGCTCTGGAGTTGCTAAGGTGTTGTAGCTGGCTGCTAGAGGTTGCTATGCAGTAAAGTTCTAAGGTGTTTTAGGGGGTTGCTAGGGTGTTGCTATGCAGTTTCTGAAATGTTCGGGGGGATTGCCAAGACGTTGCTCTGGAGTGGCTAAGGTGTTGTAGCTGGCTGCTAGGGGTTGCAATGCAGTTAAGTTCTAAGGTGTTCTATGGTGTTGCTAGGGTGTTGCTATGCAGTTTTTGATATGTTCGGGGTGGTTGCCAAGACCTTGCTCTGGAGTTGCTAAGGTGTTGTAGCTGGCTGCTAGAGGTTGCTATGCAGTAAAGTTCTAAGGTGTTTTAGGGGGTTGCTAGGGTGTTGCTATGCAGTTTCTGAAATGTTCGGGGGGATTGCCAAGACGTTGCTCTGGAGTGGCTAAGGTGTTGTAGCTGGCTGCTAGGGGTTGCAATGCAGTTAACTCTCTGGGGTCGGCGGTCTCGCCGGCGATACCAGCTCACTTTTTTCCTTATCAGTGCAAAAGAGACTCAAATTACTCTGTTAATTTTGATCTTACATATAAGTGTTGTACATCATTCGATCCTGTTAAGTTTGTATTTTTTTTGTGGAACCTCATAATAAAAACAAAGTGTTGTGATTTTCGCCTAATAAAGAAAAATAAACATGATGCGCGTTCTGCGTTCTCTCTGTCAGTGAAGTCCATTCTGAAACGCGTCCGAAAAATCATCTGTAACTCTGTAAATACTCAGTCAAACAGGTATACAGGCACACAGGCATGAAGCCTGAATTATCTTCTTTTAAATGAAGTAATTTATATAAAAAAAAATGTTTCTCATTTTATGTAATCTGTACGAAAAGAGAGAGATGATAGTCGTTCTCGTCTCAGCTCATTAAAGTTAATTTGACCACGCCCACGGAGCGCGCGCTCTATTCAAACACAAATGCGATCCACGCCCACATCAGCTGGATAACCACCGAAAGAGACTCAGATTTACGACGCTGTGAGGAATAATAGTTCTATCTTAATAATAATCCTGGAAAAAATGACCTCAGAAGTAGGCTACAGGTAGTTTCATTTGGAGGAGCAACGGATCCAGCCGAGGAAATAGGTACATTCTTTATTTTCAAGTGCTTTGTGCTAATCGCGATATGGAATAGTGTCTGTAAACAAAAAGACTGTTTGAATCGCGTTTTTGTGTGTGAATGAATGAACAGCTTTTACCTAACTATATTCCAATACTGAGATGAGTAAAAATCGACTGAAATATGTTGAAATAAAATATTTTTGTATAAGCAACGTATTAAACTGCAAATTAACATTTATATGTCCTAATCATAAAAACGATGTGTTACATATGAAAGACAAGATGTCGTTTTTACTGTAAAATACTGCCACATCAAATAAGCTTGTTTGCTAAGATGTTATTATAGTGTTTGTTCGATTGTAAGCTATATTCAAACTAATTAATCCGCAACTGTGAAATATGTATGATAAAATGTATACTTTAGTATATAATACAAAGAAAGATTACATTTGAAATATAGTTAAAATTTTAATTGTTGTTGTAATTGTAACCTTTTTATTAAAATAGCAAAAATATATGTAGGCTACATATAAATAAATCTTAGGTAAATCTTAAAAGCTCAATATAAGCCTCCTCTTTAAATTATTTGTATTGTGTTTTATTAGTGACACATTTGGGATATATTCCCAAACTTTCTGTAAAAACAGTATGATAATTAACTGCACAATTACTAGAAATTTTTACATTTGATATTATACAATTTGAAAGCACAATTTGAAAAATAAATAAATAATTGGAACTGTGAACCAATTTTGGATTATATAGGCATATATATATATATATATTGTCATTGCATTCTTGTGGCTCATTGACACACCTGAATGAAAGGGTCGTTAGTATGCAGCCCCATTATGCACTCATTATGCGGGCCCATTGTCTTCTCAGGTGTGAATCACAGCAGGTCACACCCCTGCGCATATTGCCTTTCCAAACAAAAAGTGTCATTTTTAAATTTAAACCAATCTATTGTTTTATGTGAATGATTAGAAAGGATGATTTTCAGATCATTTTGAAGAAAAAACTCTAGGCGACAACATCCATTAGTCAAAAGTCTTGTGGACACATATTTAGTATGTGTTTTGTGGCCTTATTTCAGAAACTTTAAGTTTTAGTTTTTTCAATAACCACGCATAAACAATATTCTCTCAAAAATACAAAAATGTACATACATGTTGCTCACACATTATGGTAGCCCTGTGTGTGCTAAATAGAGTGTAATTACACCTTTGCCAGTAATATGTTTATAAGCAACTGAAAAAAGCACAAATGTCAGAGTATGTCAAAACATCTCAAGGACCCAAAAAACACCTTGGACCCCAGAGGGTTAAGTTCTAAGGTGTTCTATGGTGTTGCTAGGGTGTTGCTATGCAGTTTTTGATATGTTCGGGGTGGTTGCCAAGACCTTGCTCTGGAGTGGCTAAGGTGTTGTAGCTGGCTGCTAGGGGTTGCAATGCAGTTAAGTTCTAAGGTGTTCTATGGTGTTGCTAGGGTGTTGCTATGCAGTTTTTGATATGTTCGGGGTGGTTGCCAAGACCTTGCTCTGGAGTTGCTAAGGTGTTGTAGCTGGCTGCTAGAGGTTGCTATGCAGTAAAGTTCTAAGGTGTTTTAGGGGGTTGCTAGGGTGTTGCTATGCAGTTTCTGAAATGTTCGGGGGGATTGCCAAGACGTTGCTCTGGAGTGGCTAAGCTGTTGTAGCTGGCTGCTAGGGGTTGCAATGCAGTCAAGTTCTAAGGTGTTCTAGGGGGTTGCTAGGGTGTTGCTATTCAGTTTATAAGATGTTCGGGGTGATTTATATAAGGGTGTTTTGTGCCTCAAAGCGTGGCATTAGCAATGCCAGGGTCATGGGTTTGACCCCAGGGAGGGAATGCATATAAACCTCGAAGGCAATGTAATGTATTTAATTTGTAGGCATTAGTATGGCCTGTTTTTTTAGTCACTCCAACAATTCAGTTCAATTCACATTTATTTGTTTAGCGCTTTTCACAATACACATCATTTCAAAGCAGCTTTACAGAAAATGTCCACATTACAGTTTACAGTGATCTGTTATCAGAGGAAACTGTCTGAGTTATGCATTTCAGAAATATACATATACAAAATCACAGTTAGCGAAAAAGGTATTAATTTAAACAATGTAATAATTGAATGCAGAAACAATGAGCTCATTGCTTGTTTGTTATCACATGATTATGACATTTAGAAAGATGATGCATGATGCATGATGATTCCCACAACACCGTAGACTTCTGCATGAACACACACCGGTTCTCTCCATCCTCCGGTCACCCGCTCTCTCTTTAACAAACGTGCTTCTCTTTTGCAGGAGAACTACATTAATCTCCCCAACCTGCTGTTCTCCTGCATGTACACGGTCACGGTTCACACACTCAGTGCGAGACAGCGCTCCTCGGACGAGAGCATAGGCTTCCTCACGCCGTCCTGTGAGATTATCCGGAGCAAGAGCCCGAAGCCCATCGCCTGTCCCGGTGACCCCGGCCCCCTCCACAGGACCGGTGCGGGTTTAGCGTTTGTTTTCATACGGTTCATGACATTGAGTGATTACAGTGGGTCTGTTTGGGAGCAACAGTCTGCAGACGTGGTGCTTGTTTTGGTCTTTAGTGTGCCGCTGTTCTGGTGCATCTTTAATTTACTTTTGATATTTTCAGGTCTTTTATTTTACTCTAGTTTCTTTTAATTTAGTAAAAAATACTTTTTAATATAGATTAATATACTGTTGAAGTTTTTATTAATATTTTGAATTAGTTTTTATTTTTGTATTTTCAGTTTTTATTTTAGTCTTACTTTTTTTTATAAAAATCATTTTTTTTTGTAAAAGTTAGTAACTTTTTTAAATAGTTTATTTTATCTAACTTTTTTTGTACTTGATTAGTACTAAGTAGTGTAGTTTTTATTAATGTTTTTGAATTAATTTTTGTTTTGGTATTTTTTTTTTACAAACATTTTTAGTTGAAGTTTATTATTTTTTATTATTTTTTTTATATTTTATTTTGGTTATTTTATTTTTTACTTGATTAGTAATAAGTAGTGTTGTTTTAGTTTTATTGACATACTATTCAAGCTTTTATTAATATTTTTATATTTTCAGTTTTTATATTTTAGTTGAAGTGTATAATTTTAATGATTTTAGTAAAAGATTTGTTTTTTAATATTTTATTGCATTTAACATATACGTATTTATTTAATAGTTGATATGCTATTATAGTTTGTATTCTTTTTTTGTATGGTTTAATTTTTTTTAAATTTTAGTTAAAGTTTGTCATTGTCATTTTTTCTCTCTCTGAATGTCTAATAATTTTTAAACTATTTATTAATTTTTATTTCAGTTTTAGTTTTAGTTACTTTAGTACTTCAACTTGCACTAAACAAAAATGAGAAATGTTTTAGTTTTAGTTAACAACAATAACCCTGACACAAGTGCCTAAAAACAAAACTCTTAATAACTTTCATTCAGTGACTAGTTTTTCCTTTATTCATAATTTTGCATCTTCTGTCGTTTTCACACGTTTTCATTTTCTCAGTGTGGTGTGTGTGTTTTGTGTAGTCTTCATGTTCTCAGTGTGGTGTGTGTGTTTTGTGCAGTCTTCATCTCAGTGTGGTGTGTGTGTTTTGTGTAGTCTTCATGTTCTCAGTGTGGTGTGTGTGTTTTGTGCAGTCTTCATCTCAGTGTGGTGTGTGTGTTTTGTGTAGTCTTCATGTTCTCAGTGTGGTGTGTGTGTTTTGTGCAGTCTTCATCTCAGTGTGGTGTGTGTGTTTTGGGCAGTCTTCATCTCAGTGTGGTGTGTGTGTTTTGTGTAGTCTTCATGTTCTCAGTGTGGTGTGTGTGTTTTGTGCAGTCTTCATCTCAGTGTGGTGTGTGTGTTTTGTGTAGTCTTCATGTTCTCAGTGTGGTGTGTGTGTTTTGTGCAGTCTTCATCTCAGTGTGGTGTGTGTGTTTTGTGCAGTCTTCATCTCAGTGTGGTGTGTGTGTTTTGTGCAGTCTTCATCTCAGTGTGGTGTGTGTGTTTTGTGCAGTCTTCATCTCAGTGTGGTGTGTGTGTTTTGTGTAGTCTTCATGTTCTCAGTGTCGTGTGTGTGTTTTGTGCAGTCTTCATCTCAGTGTGGTGTGTGTGTTTTGTGCAGTCTTCATCTCAGTGTGGTGTGTGTGTTTTGTGCAGTCTTCATCTCAGTGTGGTGTGTGTGTTTTGTGCAGTCTTCATCTCAGTGTGGTGTGTGTGTTTTGTGCAGTCTTCATCTCAGTGTGGTGTGTGTGTTTTGTGTAGTCTTCATGTTCTCAGTGTGGTGTGTGTGTTTTGTGCAGTCTTCATCTCAGTGTGGTGTGTGTGTTTTGTGCAGTCTTCATCTCAGTTTGGTGTGTGTGTTTTGTGTAGTCTTCATGTTCTCAGTGTGGTGTGTGTGTTTTGTGCAGTCTTCATCTCAGTGTGGTGTGTGTGTTTTGTGCAGTCTTCATCTCAGTGTGGTGTGTGTGTTTTGTGCAGTCTTCATCTCAGTGTGGTGTGTGTGTTTTGTGCAGTCTTCATCTCAGTGTGGTGTGTGTGTTTTGTGTAGTCTTCATGTTCTCAGTGTGGTGTGTGTGTTTTGTGCAGTCTTCATCTCAGTGTGGTGTGTGTGTTTTGTGCAGTCTTCATCTCAGTGTGGTGTGTGTGTTTTGTGCAGTCTTCATCTCAGTGTGGTGTGTGTGTTTTGTGCAGTCTTCATTTTCTCAGTGTGGTGTGTGTGTTTTGTGCAGTCTTCATTTTCTCAGTGTGGTGTGTGTGTTTTGTGCAGTCTTCATCTCAGTGTGGTGTGTGTGTTTTGTGCAGTCTTCATCTCAGTGTGGTGTGTGTGTTTTGTGCAGTCTTCATCTCAGTGTGGTGTGTGTGTTTTGTGCAGTCTTCATCTCAGTGTGGTGTGTGTGTTTTGTGCAGTCTTCATGTTCTCAGTGTGGTGTGTGTGTTTTGTGCAGTCTTCATGTTCTCAGTGTGGTGTGTGTGTTTTGTGCAGTCTTCATGTTCTCAGTGTGGTGTGTGTGTTTTGTGCAGTCTTCATCTCAGTGTGGTGTGTGTGTTTTGTGCAGTCTTCATCTCAGTGTGGTGTGTGTGTTTTGTGCAGTCTTCATGTTCTCAGTGTGGTGTGTGTGTTTTGTGCAGTCTTCATCTCAGTGTGGTGTGTGTGTTTTCTGCAGTCTTCATCTCAGTGTGGTGTGTGTGTTTTGGGCAGTCTTCATCTCAGTGTGGTGTGTGTGTTTTGTGCAGTCTTCATGTTCTCAGTGTGGTGTGTGTGTTTTGTGCAGTCTTCATCTCAGTGTGGTGTGTGTGTTTTGTGCAGTCTTCATGTTCTCAGTGTGGTGTGTGTGTTTTGTGCAGTCTTCATCTCAGTGTGGTGTGTGTGTTTTGTGCAGTCTTCATCTCAGTGTGGTGTGTGTGTTTTGTGCAGTCTTCATCTCAGTGTGGTGTGTGTGTTTTGTGCAGTCTTCATCTCAGTGTGGTGTGTGTGTTTTGTGCAGTCTTCATCTCAGTGTGGTGTGTGTGTTTTGTGCAGTCTTCATCTCAGTGTGGTGTGTGTGTTTTGTGCAGTCTTCATGTTCTCAGTGTGGTGTGTGTGTTTTGTGCAGTCTTCATCTCAGTGTGGTGTGTGTGTTTTGTGCAGTCTTCATGTTCTCAGTGTGGTGTGTGTGTTTTGTGCAGTCTTCATCTCAGTGTGGTGTGTGTGTTTTGTGCATCAGCCTGAACCCTCTTCTGTCATCATGATATATTTCATGTTATTTCATGTTTTCCTCGAACCCTCCAGTGCCGGCGAAGGTTTCGGCTCAGCCTGAGAATCTGACAGCGACCTTCACTCTCCACGACGGGAACGTGACGGGTCACTTCCGCTGGAGGGGGTCGCGACCCCAGTCTCATCAGCCAATCACAGGCTTCCAGGTCACATGGGCTGAGTTTTCCACGGAGAGCCGTCAGAACAGTCTTCCCAACAGCATCATCTCGCAGTCCCAGATCCTGCCACCTGTAAGTCCTCCACACACACCCTCTCCACGAGAGCGCACGCACACACATACATCACATGTTCTTGGCCCATGATTTCACACAAGAGTGTTTCTCATGGAAAATTGGATACATATTCAAGTCCAAGAGTGTGAAATATGATACACACAGCGCTGGCAGGATCTGCTGATGAATCGAGGCTGCTGTTTAATAACCTTTAATAACCAGAGCTCATATCATATCTGGAGGCTTTACATGTGAAGGAAGGTTTAGGAATATACTCAATGTTCACAGTATATTGGTATAATGCATATTTGTATAATAATCAAATTTTGTTGGCAAAGTAAAACAAATGTAAGTATTAAATGTTAATATTATTTAATAATAATATAATTTAATAAGTGTATTTAATATTCAAACTTAATATTTTTAAAAAGATGCATATACTGTATATGTATATATATATATATATAAATTGAATATTAAATGTTAATGTTAATATAATTAATATAATTGAATAATTAATGTATTTAATATCTGAACTGAACATATAATAAATGTAATGTATATATATATATATGATTTAATGTTAATATAATTAATATGATTTAATAATTATATTTATTATTTAAATAAAATATTTGAAAAAAGCTGAAAAACATACTCTGTGTATATATATATATATATATATATATATAATTATAATATAATTTTAATGTTACATGTAATATAACTACTTAATATATTAAACATTGTATTGAATATTTAAACTAAATATTTTTTAAAAAGCTGAATATATATACAGTATATATATATGTGAGTGTGTTTGTGTGTGTATATATATATGTGTGTGTGTATTATTTAATAATAACTTTTAATTTTAAAAAGCTGAAAACATATGTACATGCATAACAATAATTTGAATATTAAATTCTGATTAGTTAACATTAAGAGTATTTCATATTAGTATTCAATATTAAATAAAAAGCTGAAAAATATCTATATATGGATTTCATAAATATAATTTTAACTGCATCACCCAGGGAAGGTTTATGTTGAAGTAAATCCTGGAGATGTATTAGTGTTATTAATGTTCATATGGTACGCATTAGTATGTTCTCATGGACGGAGTGCTGTTTTGAGCTCTGACATCATCACCAGATCTCCTCCATCATCCACTGAACAAACAGTCCTCGCATAACTCATCACTCACGTTATGTTTTTTAATATTCATGTCCTTCTGCTGAAGCTTTAATTGACTCAGTCAGACTGAAATGCATCAAATTGATCCCGTCCGGTTTTCATCCGTGTGATTCCTCAGATCTGACAGAATATTGAGGCCGGTTTGAAGCACGTCATCATTATCAGATTGGATTCATTTATGAACGATGTGGATTCTGTCATGTTTATTGTTCACATCGAGTAAATCTGAAGAGCTTCCAGTGAGCTCATAATAAACACTGGACGACGCCTCGAGCCACAATCTGATGTTGGAGAAACTCTACATGAGCTTCTTTCATGTGTGTCCCTACAGCGCCGTAACTCGTTTCTTCACTATCATATTACAATGCGAATTGGTCGTTCAACCACGTTGGATAATGATGTCACACACGTGGAGTAATAATACTTTTAATGAATCTGTTTGAGATCAAATTAACGCAAAATGTTTTGCTATATTGTTCAAGGTGCTTAAAGTACTTGAATTTGACTGTTTGATATTTAAGTTCTGGAAAACCCTTGAAAACAGACATATTTACGAAGAGGTACTTAAAAGTGCTTGACTTATTTAAATATAATATATATATATTAAATGTAATTTTTGCGAATAAACACAAATGCAATCTTTTCAGGCAAAATGAACACCGCAGCCCGTCTGATAAACCCCCATCAGACCTTTTCTCGTTACAAAGTACGCCAACATTATAGTATAAAATATTATTTATTGAACAATAATAGCCATTATAAACTTTGTATTTAATATTTATTATTAAATGCGTTATAAGTTGTATTTTGGATATATCTGTAATTTGAATTAAAAAAAATTCTAGTTTAAAGAAACTATCGTGCTCCCACGAGAAACTATCGCGCGGTCACGAGAAACTATCGCGCGCTCACGAGAAACTATCGCGCGCTCACGAGAAACTATCGCGCGCTCACGAGAAACTATCGCGCGGTCATGAGAAACTATCGCGTTCTCACGAGAAACTATTGCGCGCTCACGAGAAACTATCGCGTTCTCACAAAACCTATCGCGCACTCACGAGAAACTATCGCGCGCTCACGAGAAACTATCGCGCGCTCACGAGAAACTATCGCGTTCTCACGAGAAACTATCGCGTTCTCACGAGAAACTATTGCGCGCTCACGAGAAACTATCGCGTTCTCACAAAACCTATTGCGCGCTCACGAGAAACTATCGCGCGCTCACGAGAAACTATCGCGCGTTCACGAGAAACTATCGCGCGCTCACGAGAAACTATCGCGCGCTCACGAGAAACTATCGCGCGCTCACGAGAAACTATCGCGCGCTCACGAGAAACTATCGCGTTCTCACGAGAAACTATCGCGCGCTCACGAGAAACTATCGCGTTCTCACAAAACCTATTGCGCACTCACGAGAAACTATCGCGCGCTCACGAGAAACTATCGCGCGCTCACGAGAAACTATCGCGCGCTCACGAGAAACTATCGCGCGCTCACGAGAAACTATCGCGCTCTCACGAGAAACTATCGCGTTCTCACGAGAAACTATCGCGCGCTCACGAGAAACTATCACGTGCTCACGAGAAACTATCGCGTTCTCACGAGAAACTATCACGCGCTCACGAGAAACTATCGCGCGCTCACGAGAAACTATCGCGTTCTCACGAGAAACTATCGCGTTCTCACGAGAAACTATCGCGCGCTCACGAGAAACTATCGCGCGCTCACGAGAAACTATCGCGCGCTCACGAGATACTATCGCGTGCTCACGAGAAACTATCGCGTGCTCACGAGAAACTAGCGCACGGTCACGAGAAACTATCGCGCGGTCATGAGAAACTATCGCGTTCTCACGAGAAACTATTGCGCGCTCACGAGAAACTATCGCGTTCTCACAAAACCTATCGCGCGCTCACGAGAAACTATCGCGCGCTCACGAGAAACTATCGCGCGCTCACGAGAAACTATCGCGCGCTCACGAGAAACTATTGCGCGCTCACGAGAAACTATCGCGTTCTCACAAAACCTATTGCGCACTCACGAGAAACTATCGCGCGCTCACGAGAAACTATCGCGCGCTCACGAGAAACTATCGCGCGCTCACGAGAAACTATCGCGCGCTCACGAGAAACTATCGCGTTCTCACGAGAAACTATCGCGCGCTCACGAGAAACTATCGCGCGCTCACGAGAAACTATCGCGCGCTCACGAGTAACTATCGCGTTCTCACGAGAAACTATTGCGCGCTCACGAGAAACTATCGCGTTCTCACAAAACCTATCGCGCACTCACGAGAAACTATCGCGTTCTCACAAAACCCATGCGGTCACGAGAAACTATCGCGCGGTCACGAGAAACTATCGCGTTCTCGCGTTCTCACGAGAAACTATCGCGCGCTCACGAAAAACTATCGCGCGCTCACGAGAAACTATCGCGTTCTCATGAGAAACTATCGCGTTCTCACGAGAAACTATCGCGCGCTCACGAGAAACTATCGCGCGCTCACGAGAAACTATCGCGCGCTCACGAGAAACTATCGCGCGCTCACGAGAAACTATCGCGCGCTCACGAGAAACTATCGCGCGCTCACGAGAAACTATCGCGTTCTCACAAAAACTATTGCGCGCTCACGAGAAACTATCGCGTTCTCACAAAACCTATCGCGCACTCACGAGAAACTATCGCGTTCTCACAAAACCCACGCGGTCACGAGAAACTATCGCGCGGTCACGAGAAACTATCGCGTTCTCACGAGAAACTATCGCGCGCTCACGAAAAACTATCGCGCGCTCACGAGAAACTATCGCGTTCTCATGAGAAACTATCGCGCTCTCACGAGAAACTATCGCGCGCTCACGAGAAACTATCGCGCGCTCACGAGAAACTATCGCGCGCTCACGAGAAACTATCGCGTTCTCACGAAAACTATTGCGCGCTCACGAGAAACTATCGCGTTCTCACAAAACCCACGCGCTCACGATAAACTATCACGCACAAATTAGTTTTCTAATTTCTAATTTCTCGCGATAGTTTCTCGTGAGCACGAGAAACTCTGTATATTTTTTTCTTGCTAAGGTCCCTTTAGGAGTTCCTTAGTGCGGAGATTGCAGTACTACCAAACAAAAAAGTAGTGCTTGAAAAGTCCTTGAAAGTCCTGGAATTCATTTTTACAGTATCTGTACGAACCCGGTTTATAAATAAAGTTTGATTGATTGACTCTTTCATGTGTAGTCGTTCTCTATGACTGTATTGTGATATATAAGAAAGATCTGATGTGTTTGAGTTGCTGACTCTGAACACTGTTGTATATTGTGATGTTTTTCAGAATCAGAACCTCCTGGTGGTGTCTAACCTGCGGCCGGGCACGTTCTACCGGGTAGATGTGCATGTGATCACCGCGACTGGAGAAGGACCCGCGGCGAAGAGAGTGTTTCTGACGCCCAGCCGGCCGCCGATTCAGCGAAGTAAGAAAACACACTTCTGGAATTTAAACAGGACCTGCTATGCTTCTTTCTCCATGTAATGTTGCCGTTTGAGCATTAAAAAGGGAGTTAAAACACATCCATTGAAGTCTTGAGTTTCTTCCGGGATGAACACGTCACAATATTCCTCATGTGTGACCCTGGATCACAAAACCTCGAGTCGCATGAGTGTATCTGTGGCAATAGCCAACAATACACTGTATGGGTCAAAATTATCGATTTTTCTTTTATGCCAAAAATCATTCGGATATTAAGTAAAGATCATGTTCCATGAAGATATTTTGTAATTTTCCTACCGTAAATATATAAAACATGTATTTGTGTGAGTGAATGCAACACAATCGGCAACATAAATGCACAACTTTAAAGGAGATTTTCTCAATGTTTCGATTTTTACGCACCCTCAGATTCCAGATCTTCATATAGATTCATCTCGACCAAATATTGTCCTATCGTAACAAACCATACATCAATGGAAAGCTTATTTATTCAGCTTTCAGGTGATTTATACATCTCACGTGACTGGTTTTGTGGTCCAGGGTCACATTTAACCCTTTCGCACGTACGATCACACCGGTTCACCGGACCAGTTCACCGGTTCACTTGCTTCTATATATTTCGGGAGAAGAGGATGAATTCACGTGTTGTAAATCCAACAGATCCGATTCTCTGAAACTAACTAACATGGCGGCGCATATAGCTCAACTAACGCGACCGTTATAAAGGTGTTTAAACAACAAAACACATTCACTTGCACATATTTGACAGTCGGAATATCAGATATGTCATGCTATAGCTAACAAATTTGTGAATATTTTATTTTAAAAAAGGAAATAAAAGCAGATCATCATTAATTCAGCGCTGTTATGGGTGCGGTGTGTCACGTGACAAGCAATGACGCGTCACCATGGAAACAATAAAGTGATGCGTTCTAAATAACGGTCGCCTTGGAAAAACTTGAAAAATATTTTAAACTTGCGTGTGAAATAATTCATACGCAGAATAAAGGGGCGGGGCCTGGTTGAGTTTGTTAGTAGTGTGTTAAACTGGTGGTTATGGAAAGGGGCGGGACATTTCCCAAACACACTCGAAGCACTCGACCAATCACAACAAACTGCTCCAGTCGACCAATCAGAGCAGAGTAGACCAATCACAACAAACTGCTCCAGTCGACCAATCAGAGCAGAGCAGACCAATCACAACAAACTGCTCCAGTCGACCAATCAGAGCAGAGTAGACCAATCACAACAGACCGGGCCGTCTGACCAATCAGAGCAGAGCAGGCTCTCGGAAAGGCGAGGTTTAGTGATACTCAATCTTTGAACCGTTTTCAGACTCTTTGAGAAATGAGGTGATGTGCAATGGATATTATGATAAAAGTGAAGTATTTTTGACCTTGGATGCATGTAAATCTATTGTAGGTGACTCCAAACCTAAATTAGGAACCTTTAAAATAGCATAAATGGGGTACTTTAAGTGAGTTACATTATTTTATCATATGAATCCTTTGCATTCATGACATTTAGGATGCAGAGATGTTTTCATAACCAAGATGTGTGTTTGTTCCTCACAGAAGCACAACTTCATCAGCATCACCATCAGAAGTCTTCAGTGGAGAAACACTGAACCGGTCAGAACACGAAACACAACATGCAGCGAATCGCAGTTTTCTTCAGACGCTCGAACCTTCATTCTTCAACAACACTGATGAAGGAATCACCCGAAACTCTTGTGCTGTAGCCCCGGTCCATGTGTGCGTTTACACTCAACCATTTCAGCAAGTTAAGAGCGATGTTGTGTTCCTGGGGATTTGTTCAGACTCTATGAAATGGAGGTAAATTGAAATGGAAGAATGGGGTGTGGAGAAAGTTCATGATTATCTGAGATCAGATCAGATGATGCATGGCAAACATATTCTGTCAGTATTTCCCAAACTCATATCTTTATTCAGCTCTTTTCCATTTCCAAGCATCACCGATCGTTTGTGTGATTAAATAATGACTGGATTTTTGGTTGAACTGTTCCTTTAATAGGGTGTGAAATCCATCTTTGATGCCTTTTATTATTACGTTAGCAATTCTCCAGTACGGATTAACAGAGAGTGTTTTGTTTATTAATGAAATGATTACTTATGCGTGTTTTTTTGATGGAATGATGTAAACTATATATGTTCTCGGCTGTAGAGATATTTGTTGCGGCAGTCAGTGAATGTTGATGTTGATATTTATTTATGTGTGTATTGCAACACTTCATTTGTATGTGTGTATTTGTGTATTTTTTCCCCATGTATTAGCAAGTCAGTGTTTTATAAAATACAAATTCGTGTAAAGACATAATGTAAAAAAACAAAATTAATTGTACATATAGTCATATGTTCCATTATTTCCATAGAACTGTACATACTTTTAAGTAATAAAATAGTTCCTCTACTCCTTCAGCTCATCTGTAGTCCTGTGTAAAACATTTGCTGTCAGTGCCGTACCTCAGATCTGTGGGAAAGAAAGAAATGCATCACTGACTGAAATAAATACGTATATCGAACAGAAATACACACAGCTTGACTTCCTTAACTAATACTTCAACCATAAATGTGTACAATTAAAATAAGTAATCTTAAAATAAAAACAATAGAAATAAAAAACAAACAATTAATTATTTAATTGTTTTTGCATGTCATGTGATCATTAACGGACATGATGTCAGGGGCACTTTATATTTTACGTCAGGGTTTGAGAATCGCTGGTTTAACTATTGAAGTTTTTGCCATGTATTTGTTATTTTTAATATGGTGTCACAATAATATGGTTTCACGAATTTCAAGCGTTTCGTTTTAGACGCAATCGGTTTTTTGTTAGTCGCAATTACGGTAATTCTGACGTAAACGCGTAGCGTAGGCCAACAGTGTGTGTTCAGCGATTTTTGCATAAACACTTTTTGTTATTCTGGTTGAAACTCTCTTCACATCCTGATAGCAATCGATAGCCTAATAGAAGTGGTTTAAATATTAAAACATATACATAGGCCTATATCTTCTTTGGAAGTCAGGACCAAAAAAATGTCAATAGTATTGCGATGTCTTGCCCGGCTGTCAACATCCAGAAATCACACTTATCATCAGCGCGTTTCATAAGTTTATGCAGAGTTGTAGATAGACAGTCATTGAACACAGCCAGTGCCGCTGCTAGCCATTTTGGTGCCCTAAGCATAATTCCTTTATGATGCCATGCCCCCCCCCCCCCCCCCCCTAAAAAAAAACATTTTCATTTAGTATTTTCATTTAGGGGGGCTAAGCCCCCAATGAGGGTATGATTTATAAAAAAATTAAAAAGCTAAAAAGTAACACTTTAGATTAGGGTCTAATGCTTACTATTAACTAGTTTCATTACCATGCAATGGCATGGTTTTATAATCACTGGGATCCCGAATTTGAGGCAGGTTAGTTAGGGGTGTTCGGGGGAAATTTTGGATTTTTCTGAACTACAGATGTGCATTTTAAGATGTTGTGAAGGCAAAAAAAAAAAAAAAAAAAAAAATCGATAACAACAGCTTTAAAACCATGTCAGTGGGCAGCTGATTATTTTTCTCTCCTCATCAGCATCACACTCTTTTTCTCTTTGTTTTTATCTTGCCCTGTCTCTTCCCCTCCTAAAGTTGGCTTTTTTAATTTACTAAAGGTTACAATTTGTATTTTATTCTCAATATGTTCACATTCATTATAAATCCTGTGCCTAACATGATGAAAACGGCTTTGTTCATGTTTCTTGTCCCCTCACAATGACAGTAGCCTAAACTATTACACTAGGCTACATGTTACATAGGCCTATTTTCAGTTAAAAATGGCGAAATTAGACAAAACTATATTAGTTTGCCTAATTATTTTTTGTCATTCGTTTAACATTTATGACCTAAAAAAAACTGTCAAATAAAGTTGTTTAGCTACTTACATCTTATCTCGCACTTGACCGTACACTGAAGCGTAGAGTTGCACTGTTAAAATTCGCGCTCAGCGTCTGTGAACATAAAGCCCGCCTACTTTGATTTGATTGGTCATCTCAAATATTCTGACATTGACGAGCAGTGACAGACCAATGAGGCTCAGAAGAACACACACATAACACACACACACACCCTGTCCTGTGTTTCTGACGTGCTCTCTGTCTCTGCTCGGCGCCGCTGCGGAATGAAGAGGAAGAACGCGCTGAATCTGATTATAACAAAAAGTTTGATGATTGGTTTTTCATTAGGCTATTTTTGGTGCCCCCTCAGCACTTGGTGCCCTACGCACAGCGCGTGATGCGCGTGGTGGGAGCGGCGGCGCTGAACACAGCAAACAAACTGAGTTTCTCCTGAACCAAAACAAAGAGTTTATGCTACGTTTACGCAACCGTAAACAAGATGCAACCCGTGACTTTGTGTTCACGTCCTCACACTCGGATTTATGCGTTTCTCTGTCAACACAGATGGATCTGCAGAAGTCAGGTAGCCTACAACTAGATCTCTGTAAGTTGTTTACCTTCGTAAAGTTGTGTGCTTTGAGACATGAGGTAATTTAAACAATCTGCCTACTTACAGTACGCCCTAAAAATATTTACTCTATTTGTGAAGATAAAGTAGGCTATAGGCTACACCTTTGAGTGTGTAAGAGGAGTAGGCAAGCTTTGGGACAAACTACTTCATCTTTACCGGACCGCATGACATTTAAACGGCCCTGTCAAACCACTGTTAAAATCCTCCACATTCAATTTTATTTAATTTCCTATTGTTTCGGAGAGAAATGTAGAAGCACGTCGATCTGGGTCTTTCATGAACTCTCCTCATGTGTTTATAATTTGCATAATGATGCATTTAAAGGTTAATCACCAAACGTATCTTTAAAAAAGTTCACAATGCTGTTGCAGATGAAATATAAAGTGGACAACACTTAATACATATATTTTCGTCCGATTAGATAGGCCTACTGATTATGAATCACTCAAACACCTTTATCTAAACATCTCTACTTAACCGTCGGTTTAGCGCATCCGCCATGTTTGTAGTTTTTAACAGGTTTTTATTAATGTTTGTAGTTCTAATCGAATCGTCGCAATATTATCCATTAGAGTGTGCACGGATCTGCACTTCGGTTTCTAACTGGAAAAAGTAGACCGTCCGAGTATTTTTTTAATAGGCTACTTCCCAGCAAACATTTGGACGTGTAATGACCGTTGAAAAGACGTCCGTCCGACACGTCCCGTTATGGTTGAAAAATAGTTCCAAAATGGAAGTTGAACCGACGTCTTTTCTGGCCGTGAATTCCACGTCTTTTCTGGCCGTGAATTCCACGTCTCTTCTGGCCGTGAATTACACGTCTTTTCTGGCCGTGAATTACACGTCTTTTCTGGCCGTGAATTACACGTCTCTTCAGCGCGTCCCTGGACGTCTAAATGCGTCATCATTTGTGTGTTTAAATGTGTTGCTGCATAATTTAAGTGTATATAAGCCTGCATTTAAAATAATCACACACATATTGTGTAACATCGTGAAAGGCAATCAAGTCTTGAGGTTTACACATCTTGACAAAGGTTTTAAAAAGTTCAAAAATTGGTCCAGTCAGACGGACCTGACCGTCAATAAAACGTTTCAATCACGTGTACATCACAAACAAGAACACATTATTTGTGGACATAAGAAAAAAAAGCATGTTCTGATTTAGCAAATTTTATTGATCTTGAACAGCGAAAATGTCTCTTAATATTTTTTCAATGTTTAACATTTGTTAACCAAACTAAAATACCAATTACAAAATACTGAATTATTATATAAAGGGATAGTTCACCCAAAAATGAAAATTCTTTCATTTACTCACCCTCATGTTCCAAACCTGTATGAGTTTATTTCTTCTGCTGAACACAAAAGAAGATATTTTGAAGAATGTTTGTAACCAAGCAAATAGAGCAACCATTGACTACCATTATTTGAGAAAGATTAATGGGAAGCGATATCTTGGTTACAAACATCTTTGTGTTTAGCATAACATAGAAAGGTATACAGGTTTGAAACATGAGGTGGAGTAAATGATGACAATTTTCATTTTTGGGTGAACTATCCCTTTAAACACATTGTTTGGATCAGTTTTTGTATCCACCAGCTGTTCCTGGAGCGTGTTTCAGGTGTTCTGCCATTGCTGCATCAATTTCAGAGTCTGTAGCATTTGGGCTCCACCTCTTCACAGCATCTAAGGGAAGAGAAATATATATATATTAATATATAATATATATAAATTAATAAATAAAATTATAAATTTGAGGTAAATGATATGCACTTATTTTCAAAATATTTTTATGGTCTACAGCTAAATAAAAAAAAAAAAACATGGAACAAGATGAATGAATCATGAATAAAACATTAGAAAAAGGTAATCAACATGCATTACATTTTATTTTATTGTATAAAATATGTTATGCTTTATTTTTAAAGCAGTTACTGGAAACATACATGTTAAAATCCAGCTAAACATTTCATTCCATTTCAGATAATTTACTTTCTGAAAGAAACTCTCAAAAGGCTACATTAATAAGTTACAGTAATAACTTTGACTGTATCATTAAACAATATACTTGGTATACCGTTGTTGTATACGTTCAAAGTTAATATTAGCCTACTGGCTAATTTTAGCCAAACTCAGTAAATTTCAGTTGACAATTTGGGCATCATTTCTTT